TCCTAAAGGTTTGTGTGTGTGTGAGTGTCAAATGAGTTCTATGGTTTTAGGGGGATAAAGGAAGAAATTGAACGAAGCAGCTTTGTTTGATACCTGCGCTTTATATTGCATGCATAAGTCTGATTTTGTGCCGACAAAATTTGAAGATAACAGTACCGTCTGATTTTGGTCCTATGTAGCAGACTTGAACGCTTCGAACGCGGATCATGGCAAAATTTTGTGCTTTATAATTTGGTTTGTATAAATACTATTACTTTGAAATTAAGAATGGTATTATACATAAATAATTTATTTGCAATTTTGATAAATATGCATTTATTTTTGTCCATTTTCATTTTTCCAAATCTAATTTTACAAGACAAAACTGATATGATTGATTCGTATTTATTTTATTTATTAAAAACCATGTTTTTATATCATATCTTAACAATTAATAATTTTTTTATTTATAGTCTATTTTTAAGATATGATTTATCATGTTAATCATTTGATCATGATCTTTGATTTGACATTCATATCATATATAATCATGTTTAGAAAGAATTTAAAAAACTTAAAATGAATTAACAGAATTGTAAATAATATTCGTCTTAAAATTATATAATTTTATAAATTAAATTAAAATGAGTATCTTTTTATGAAAATTTAGGAGTAAAAAGGTGTCAATTTAAATATTTATCACTTATTAATTATTTATTATTTATTTTATATTTGTAATATTAATTTTTTATTATACATTTTTCCCCACCCCATGTAACTCACAGATGTTGTACCAGTCAAATGTTATTTTATATATGAAGCAAAACAATAAATAATGGGATTATTTTGAAAACCTTGTTTGGTCTTGTACAAGAGATACACGATACTATTATCATAGTAGAAATTTTATGGAACTAATGGATGACGCTTTTATGAAGTCATTCATAACTTGATGTATTGGCACATATTTAAAGTGTATTTATTTTAGAACAAGTGTCAATACACCATTTATAAATAATTGTAGATTATTCCATAAGCCGTGTCATCTGATTGCTTTATGGCATAACTGATTATCATAGATAAGATAAGTTAGATCTATAAACATCGACTTGATGAATAAATCATTAAAATTTATCAATCTCTTCGACTAATACACCATTATACCTCACCAACAAATCGATCCAAATCCAAAAACCTTTGAAATATCATTAGACATGGCCATCGAGTTGGACTGCAGGTTCAATCTGTTCACCGATAACCTAAACTTGTTGACTCGGATTTCGGACCAACCTGAACTTGTTGACCCAAATCAACCAAAAAAGTGTTGACACGTAGATTGTACCCAGAACTTACGGGTCGCCAAGGATTGTCTCTTGAATTTCGTCAAATAGATCTCTTAGCTGTTGAAAGATCACCGATCGAGTTCACTCAATGCAATTTTTATGTCTTTTCAACTTTTGACTTATTATTAAAAAAAAAAATTAATAAAGAAAAAAGCTCAAAACCAATGGATAGGGCCAAAAAGCGGAATAAACGGAAGGGCCGATTCCAATTCAATAGCCATGTTTATATCACGAAAAATGTTACAAGTACATAATAAGGTTATGTTTGGTAAAACTAGCTGATAAGCTAGCTTATAGCTTATTCGTAATTTTTTAGCTTATAGCTTATAGCTTATGACTTATACCTGAAAAGCTAACTTATATTATAAAAGTATTTGGTAAAAGTAGCTGATAAGCTAGCTGAAATAAAAAATTCAACTAGTTTATTTGAAAAGCTACCTAAAGTAGCTTATGAGATAAGCTCGAGCTTTTTTCTTGTCCTACCAAACAAGACTTATTTGAATACATGGAGCTTATAAGCTAACTAAATAAGCTACAAGCCAGTTTATTTGACTTACACAACACAGCCTAAACGCACATAGAAGTGTACATAACACTATGAAGTCCACTTGATTTTGTATGGGCATTACTATTTACCGCCCCCCTTATTACTATGTACCGCCCCCTTTGGACATTTTTGCCCCTGCCATTTTTTTCCAAAAAGTAAAAAAAAAAAAAAAAAAAAAAA